CTCAACTGTAGGACTCTGGGCTTATGTCCTGGATCTCAGATTTGTCATTTATACAAAGGGAGATGCAGTTCAATCTGATGGACTGTGGTGATGGCTTTAGAGTGAACCACGGGGTCACAGGTGGGGAACCAAGTGTAGGCATGTCGTGCAAAGGTCCAGGGGGGCCTGGACCAGGGTCAGACCCAAGGCTCAAGTTGGAGAGAGAGGTTCAGGTGGGGGAACTAGTAGAATGTGTTGGCAAAGGGCCAGGACCAGAGTGAGGGGAGTGACCCCTAGAACACAAAGCTGAAGGGGCTGTGATGCTATCAGAGTTGCCATGAGTGGGAGAGGGGACAGTTCTTCCCTCCCTGACTCGATCAGCTGATGCTGGGCATTGAGGGCCCAGGGTGACTGTGTCCTCCACACCCTGCCTGGGGTCCAGGGGGTCTCCACTGCCATGTGGGACCCTCTTCTATTTCACATAGAGTAGCCTGACAAGTCTGAATGTGGTGTGGCTTAGTGATGACTCCATTGTCAGAATCAGGGGCTGCCAATTTTGTGTGATTTGCGTGATTCTGAGGAGACTGTCAAGTCCCCACCAAACAGGATATACTTCACCTTCCAACACGTCCAAATGCAGGCCTTTCAGTATTACAGTTCATATGGATGTTTCATAAAGTCTTTTGAATCCTTTAGAGGGTCCATCGAGTTGCACATGGCCTTGGGGTGCACGCAAATGAAGCTGCCCCAGCTAAGCTTGAGTTAGGCTGGTGACACCTGAGAGCTCAGGGGTACAGGGTGGTGGGTTGGGAGTCAGTGAGGTGGGCTGGAGAGTCCAGGGGGAACCAGGGTTAATAGCCCCTCTCCTGATTCCCAGTCAGTTGGGGAAGTGGTTGAACCCAGTGACCTTCAACTGGATGGATACAGGGCATCAGGCTTGGAAGAGGGCATAGGTCAGGGAAGTGATCCCTGAGGACCCCTCTAGCTGTGAGTTTTGGTCTTAAAACAAATTCTATGTATGCGGTGTTATCCAGAATGCAAAGTCTGAGTGCACAGTCCCCAGACTATCCTTACACTTGAGAGCAATGACAAATTTGGAGGATGCCTCAAAGCACCCTCTGGTTGGAGAATTCCTGAGAAGGATGCACAGAACTCCCTGACAGCTGGCACACTCTCAGGTCAGGTTTACTACAGGGAAGGATACGGGTTCCCAGCAGCCACAGGGCAGAGTCTGGGATGCTTTCAAACATGAAGCTTCTCTTGTCCTCAGGACGCATTACTGTCCTGTGTGCAGTGTGTCAGTGCACATGGGGCACTGCCAACCAGGGATGCACACAGTGTTTAAAAAAATGGTCCTGATAGTCTTTAATATGATGAGGCAGGCAGCATTCAGGACAGTGGTGGCAGGTGTGGAGCCCATTGCTGTAGAGCAGACACACTGGGCTCAAGCCCGAATACAGCACAGATACTGGCAGTTTATAGCCAAGGAGCAGAGTGAGGCGTGGTGGAGGGAAAATTACTGAGAGGAGACACCAAGGGGAGGGGATTCCTGTTAAACTATCCTAACAGGATTCTCGCTAAAGGCAGGTCAAGGGCAGATGCTTCAAAGGTAGGAGATGAGGAATTTGATCAGGTATGAAAGTGATCAGACCTCAGAGTGGGGGAGACTCACTACGTGGATTTAGCAGGGTTCCTGCTGAGACTGGGTTGTAGGGGCCATCGGGGACAGGACACGGAAGGGGAAGGTGGAGGCCTGGTTGAGAAGAGGACTCAGAAGGGCCTGACCAAATTTGGTCAAGGAGAGAGTCTGAGGCACCCTGAGCCTCAGGGCACAGGGTCCTCCTGGGGCTCAATCACATGCTGCCCGCCCAGCTGACCTGACTCTCCAGCCCCTCCTAGAGGTCAGACCAA